ATGAATAAACTGACTCAGGGGTAAATTTAAATTCTGAGTCTCTCAACAATGGCCATAAGTGGCTCCCGAACACGCTGTTTGAGACCCCTAAGTTTAGAGAGAACCAAAGTACCCGGAAAGATATCACATCTTACTTAGAAGATTCTGCACCAGTCACAACTGTCCAGGCCGGGATGTAAACCAGTGACCTTCATGTCCAGAGATGTCAGAATTAACCACCAGGCCACTGCGCAGCCCCAGTGCCCACCCTTTGCAGTAGAACTACGTGTCTGCTAACAAGATCTGCACTACAAATCAGTTCAATACAATTCATCATTCGTCAGGATGAAAAAATTGTCGGTGAGTAAAGAATACGTTTGAAGGAACAGAGTCAACGTCTTTTACAGAGTCTGTAAAAGAGTTTTCAGAGTTGCTCAGCTGCCGACGTGTTGCTAAAGTTTTTCATTTAGACACAGGTTTGTGCCGTTGTTGTAGTTGTGGTTGTTGTGGTGTCGGTGTTGTTGTACATGATGAAGACCGTCTTCAACAAAACCCCAACTGCTGAGTGCCACACTTTTACTTCTCTTCCTCCGATGGTCTTTCTCTTTTGTACTTCCTTGTACTGCTTTGGTTTTTTTTTTTTTTTTTTTTTTTTTGTTGTTTTCACTCGTGTTTCTGAACTCTTGTTTATCAACCGCCTTATCTCATGTTTGCACCAGGTCTCTATTTCTGAAACAGAGTTTTCAAACCTCCAACTCAGCTGTTTACTTTCAAAACAAGTGTGTGTATGTGTGTGTGTACTCAGCCTCTGTACTCGCTTGGACTCGAAAAATTGCTTTTGTTGCGAGAACACTTTCGTCGTGATTGACAGTTTTTAGTTGTATTAATTGTGCATGGCATGTTTCAGATTTATTCAACTGAAAATGTAAATGTGAAAATATGAATTTTCCCCGCGTACCACTAGAGAGCACTCGCGTACCACCGGTGGTACGCGTACCACAGTTTGAGAAACACTGGTCTAAAGTAACAGAGCTACAGAAGACATTATGTCAATATGAAGTGCTCAAAAACCTTAAAACTGTATGTGTGTGTGGGCTGTGTATGTATAGTTGTGCAGGTGTGTATTTGGTATACCTGCCGTTTATACTCAAGTGGACAGTTTTTATAAAACTGCTGTTGTGGGGACTCTGAGTTAAGATAAGGGTTATGATGTAGTTTTGAGTTAGGATTATAGTTGCTGCAGTATTAATTAAGATTAGAAATATGTATTTATTCGTAAAGATACATATATATTCCTTTTTTTTTCACTTTGGCAACAAAAAGGCTATGGTGACAACAAGCTGTTTATTATGTTCCCAAAAAGGCGTTTACAGCTACAGGACTCCTGTGATGACACAAAGGCAAAAACTCCATTGTTTTACTTTGTATATTTTTTATTATTCTAAATTCATTACCCATGAGGCAGACTTTGTCAAAGCTCTATCAACTGGCTGCATTCTCGGTCAATGCCTCCAGGACGACGATGACATTTGCGGTTCAGTCAGACGAGAGTGCGTTTTACCGACCTCTGCTGTTTTGTACCTTAAATGAAAAGCCGACCCCGGCGTTCTAACCTGCCGCAGCCTTCACACCGATTTACACCTGCAGTATAAACATGATCTAGAGCAATAGTTTGAGGCAGCAACAGTCAAACATCCCTTTGATGTTAACAAGCGGTAAATCACATTCTGAAGAGAGCGGGAGATGAAGAGGAGAGAGCGCTATGAGGCAGAGAGGGTGAAGAGGAGACAAAAGGAAAAAGGCTGAGATCAAGAAAGAGGAAGGGTGAAGGGGTGAGTGTTGGGGGAGATGTGAGGGGAGTTAAAGGCAGGGAAGAAAATGAGAAAAGACGAGGCAGAGCGGAGAACGCCAGTCGCTCCCTGAATGTGAGGCAGAAATAAAAAAAAGAAACCCGAAGGTGAAACAGAGAAGACTGGAAACACTTGAACTGTTAAATGTTACAGACCCTCGAAGATCGACCTGCGACGTTAGCCTGAAATTTCATTTTCTTAATATAGAATCTAAAAATAAATACATATATATATACCTTTTATATATATTTAAAATACTTTGTTACATATTATGTGCGGTGCCTATGGGCGCTTCGGCCCATAGCCAATGTCTCTGTCATCGGTATGGAACCCCAGGGTTCACCTTCTGGGCAAAATCAAATCCCGGTTAGGGCGGTTGGTACCTTCCAGTGCAGTCACCACCTGCAGGAAGGTTTAGGGGGAACCTGGTAACGGATAAGCGGATGAAAATGGATGGATTTATGTATTTATACAGTATAATACTGTGTCGCCTCACCTCCTTTTCAGGTATTTAAAGTTAACACAGACACCCAGAAGGTCATTCTTAACCATAGCTTAGACATTTTTTATAAAAAAAAAAAAAACTTTTAGACTTGTGCCTCATCAGAGGGTCAACCAGGCTAAGGCATCTTTTTTTGGCCGGGGCACCAGGCTTGTTTCCTGGCCAAGGGGAGAAGCTTCCACTAGTGACAGCCTCGAGGTAACCTTCCTGATATTTAACAGGAGCAGTAGCTACAAATAAGGAATGGTGAGAAAAAAGTTTTACAAGGGAAGGTAAAAAAAATAAAACAAAAACCAAGTGTGATCGAGACAGACTTCCCGACAGAACTGAATGTATCTGCATGAATCTCCGGTGTTAACACCAGTCAGAGGCAGAGGATAAAGATGGAGATGGAACCAAACTCTGGTCAAAGCCGGAGAAGTATATTGTCGGAAATAGTAAAGTAAGGAAACAGAATCGAATAACAGGAATAGTCATTAGAATCACAGGGAATTGTAGAGAATAAAAAAGACCCTTGAAATTTGATCGGAAAACTAAAGTATCATCAAAAAATTTTGCAAAATTACTTTTACCTTTCATCCAAGAAGGCTCTAAGAAGAACCTTCTTGATAAACTGATAACCCAATAGTCCTGGAGAGAGTTCACATTGAGTACATTACATTGAGTAGGAGGCAAGAGTTCTGTCAGCCCAGTAATGACAAACAAAAATGAGTAAAAATGTTCGAAGATAACAAAACTTCAAGAATAACTCTTTCTCTACTTATCCTTCGTTCAAGTTAAGGGGAAAATGTGGAATTCTAATAGAATTCCTTCCCATGAAGCAACAACCTTTGTCCAAGGATTGCTATTCAGTTCTTTTCAAATGTTGAAATTATTTTTTTTTTGTGAAAATAAATAAAAAATCAGAAGGAGCTCAATCCAAAACCTGCTTCAATCATTTTGAGTTGTTTTCATCGGAGTTTGTTTAAATCTTGATGTACTCTTATTTGTTTATGAATTTAAACATTAATTAATTAGTTTGATACATTTCATATATATAATGATGAAATGTTGAATACAGTATATCGCAAGGTTTTAGATGATGATCATGACGACATGAGGAACAGCCAGAAGGCTGCGCCGCCCTGTTGACCGACATCCTCCCCATCACTCCACTGATTCCTCTGGTGATTAACTTGGTCAACCAGGGACAGCGTTGGACACGGTCGGCCCAAAAACCCTCCGTCTGCCTCAGAGGCACTATCACAGAAAACCAATCTCCTCCTCCAGTGCATCTACAACGGCAGGAGGTGCAGAACCCTCCTGCAGACAGGCTGGCGTAGTGTTCTGAAATCAGTGGAGGAGTCTCACAGCAGTGCCCATTATCACACATTTTCTCTTCCTTCTGGTCAGTGATTGGACGATGAAGACCACCGCATGAGGCGGGAAATAGTGGAATACAGTGAAAGATTTGTGTCCAACTGTAAGACCGCCATGAATAATCCAGAAGCTCAGGAACAGCTGGAGAGACAACACAGCAAAAGTGAAAGCTACTGAAGGGAGGCGGCTGAAAGAGGCCGCACGCAGGTCGGATGGCGGGATGTTGTTGATGGCCTACGCTCCATTAAGGGCAGAGAGCCTACGTAATTAAGTAAATGAGAATGGAATAGCAGGAGGAAGTGAAGGAAAGGACTTAAGTGTGCAAATTAAGTGTAGTGTGAAAGGATGGACGATGCTGTTAGGAGGAGGAGGAGGAGGAAGAGGAAGAGGAGGCGCAAATGGAGGGTGAAGAAAGGGTGCGTTCCAGGAAAGGATAAATGGCTGTAAGGATAAAAATGGAGTCAGAAACAGCAGGAAGAGCGAAGGGCAGAAAAGAAGAAGTAACACGTGTACAAAACTACTTTATTAAACATTTACTGCAGTCTTTACTACAATCAAAGGGTCATTTCTTTGGAGTCCAAAAGATTTTACGACAAGATTGAATGTCTTTATGGTGCACACCGCAGATATTGAGAAACCAGGATAAACTGTTTTGTACAGTTTAGTTCCTGATCAACCCTTCAGCATCACTTTAGGGTCTTTAAAAAAAAAAAAAAGTTGGAGTATATTGGTACCCTATTTGGGAATTCTTGTTTTAGAGGCCACCGCCAGCAGGCAGCAAGTATGTGGTTCCTCTGGGAATCAAACCTAGGACTCCTTACTCTATGTTTCTGCGGCAGGCGTGCTAACTGCTACACTATGGAACCGACCTTGAATCTGTTGTTTCAGCAGCATTTTTCTAAAAAAGAAGAATTATTGACAAGATGTGAGAATTCCTTTCCCAAAAGAACAGAGAGCAGAGAGAAATAGATAAATAGATGGATGGATGGATGGATGGATGGATGGATGGATGGATGGATGGATGGATGGATGGATGGATGGATGGATGGATGGATGGATGGATGGATGGATGGATGGATGGATGGATGGATGGATGGATGGATGGAT